TTGGGCATTTTTAGAAAATAGACATGACATGACAAGGAATGATATGAGCCAGAAATATTCTAAAATTGAAAGAATTTTTTGTTGGCCTGCTCGCTAGATCTGATACTCTCTTTAATGTCAATATATTACATAATAGGCATTTATTCTATAGTCATTACCACTGGATATTAAAACAGGCAAAGATGATCTAATATCTACAAGTTTTATGACCCCTAATTAACTGAAATATAAGCTGAGATGAATGTTCTCAAAAATCTTCATTTCAAATCTGGGCTCTCTTGGATCACTGAATTTAACCCATAATATATCATGGCATCATATGGCTGAGAAGAAATGAGATGTCATGGTTTATCGTGATGCTAAATTGCTGCAGAAGTAAACTTAGAACAGTTTTTATTGTTATCTACCTCCTGGTAATTATCCTGATGACGTCTATAAGTCACTAGGTGGGTGGATATCTCTGGTGATGGGATAATACTGTTTATCCCATACTTGGACGTGTTTTAGGCACAGGTTTTAGGTACTTAAGTAGGTTGTAAAGAGTTGTGTTTTCATCAGCAGGCAGGATATAGCTTACATCTCGGCTGAGCATCTGCCCGCTACGTCATAGTCACTGTTTGCATGTTGGTGCATTTTTGTTATGTTGGTGCTGCATTTGTGTACCCTTCGCATAATTATTTCTGTGAACAGCAATAATGAGAAAAGCAGATCACAATCTGTTTAATGATTTAAACAAAGGAAGGAGCATTCCTATCTGGGTATACCTCTTAATCAAAGATTCAAAAGCATAAATGTCTATGAATTTCTGAAATGCTGGATAATATTTCTTTTTGATTGTTCATTATCTCCTGACATCAATCAACACAGATATCAAGTCTGTTAATATGGCCATAAAAGAGAAGTAGGAACAGTTCAATTTTCATTTCCATCTGGTGTTATCAAGCATAGAAACAGTAAAGATAGAATATATTTCCTGTACTTAGCAAGGTCGCAAGGTCCATATGCCTTTGGTAAAAAAATATTCAAGTAGTTTTTTATAATCGGCTTTTAGATAATGATGGTTAAAAAAAGGCACAGGGGTATTTTTGCAAATTAATAATCTATATGAGATAAAAATGAGTGAAATCGGCTGCATTTAAATTTCTACATGTTCAAAACAGTTCTCCAACAAATCAATCATAATAGCTTAGAGAATATGTTTTCAGAATGTTTATAATTATGATTAATCGTAATGCCTGAAGATAATTTATTGCTGGATTGCCCCTGTCTGCAACTCTCTCCATGAATTACTGGGTTTAGAGATTCTCTTGCATAAAAGAACTACAGGGTGGTCCAAAAAAGTGAACCCCTGCAACAGGCTATATTTTCCTTAATACTTGCATGAATTTGCTCATATTATCACATCTTGTAGAGAAAGGTCTCAAATTTTTGTTGACACCATAATTTATTCTCAGTCTTGAATTTCAAAGAAATTACAAGACTTAAACAAACATGCCTTAAATTAGATTTTGTCCAAAATTTTACCAATGTGATTGACGGAAATTGTTGATACACATTAGATGATCTTAAAAAAGGTTTCAGTTTGAGATTATAAGTTTAAACCCTACCATATGACAAATGGAACACTATTTGAGTAGAAAACACAGTTCACACTTTTATTGACCATTTTGAAGCTGTTTTAACCATTTAACAGTTTAGAGGCATGTTACCTACACAAACAGGTAGAGGGGGGCAAAGTTACCCCTTGTGACCCAAAATCTGAGAAGCCCTTCATATAAAATCTTACAAAAATCAAAAGGAAATCTAATATTCAGTGTTTTGAGCCATATTTCATTAGAATTGGTCCATGATTAATGAAGATATTGACATTTTAAGACCATATAGGGTTATGTTGCGATTTCACTGGAAGATGTTCTCATCTTTGGAAACATTGAACATTTCTTTTGATCACAATAACTTTGCAACTAACAGAGGTAGGATGCCAATTTTTACATCATATAGTGTGAATTCAAAACCAAACAAAGTTAGAAAACATTAGGCTTCCCAGACTCCGGCTTAAAAGATTTCCATGGGAAGATTGTTGAAGGGTTGAAGAATCGCAGATACTGAATTTCACATTTTACCCATTTTCAGTGATGTTTCGTTAGGGCTTATAATTTTGGCAAATTTAAATACTAAGAAAAATGTATAGTACCAACAAAAATTTTAGACCTTCCTCTACAACATGTGAAACTATGAATGGATTCTAGCACGTAATAAGGGAAATATAGCCGGTTGCAAGGGTTCACTTTTTTTTGGACCACCCTGTATATTACTCATGTGTAAAACTACCAACAAAGAAGCCCCGAATTCACCGCTTTATGCGCTAATTTTGCAATTATGCTGACTGGTTGAATTATCTTTGTTGAAATTAATTATCTGAAACTTGAATAAATCGGGGTAATCCATATGTTATCTGATTGGTCATCAAAGTTTATCAGTATGGTAACATGACCAAAGGAACTCCATAATTGGCAGTTCTGGAAATTCAGTCAAAGTGATGTCATATTTGAAATTTACATCTAAATTGTTTATCAACTTTGGAAATTTCATTTTTGTATGCTGTTCTCTTGTCCTCAGAAAGGGTGCTTGATCTGCTGAAGGTATATCCCCAATTGATCATAGGAATTCTATTTCAATCGACTTTGAAAATAATTGATCATCACTTGTCTAATTTAGAATTTAAAGGAACGTTGCAAAGAATTATAGAGGATAAAACTGTCACGCAATCTCTGTAAATTAATCTGGATATGATTCCCTCGACACTTATTTTACGAACTAGAATCTGTGATTGCAAAATACATGTATGTGACTTGCATACAAATTGGTGGATAGACTTGTTATATAACTTGAGGTGTCACAAATACCAGATTTTGTTCTGACCTGCAGAATTCGATTGGATTACAGAACAAAAAGTCAACATTTTACTTTTTGCATGTGTGACTATCAAGATCTTATCAGCATTAAAATTATATTAAAATGCTCTAAAGGGTAGTATTTTGCTCTGGCGTTTTGCTCCAAACATCTGGGTTTCAGGGTAGTGGCTATCTATCATGGATGCATGAGTAGCGAAGATGGATTTAATGATTGTCTCAATCATTATTGATGAGAACTAAATCCATTTAATCATTCAAATGTCTCTTATGAATAATGAATGACTGCTTAAACAGGCAGTAATTTGTTTCCATGGTGATATGCATATAACAACATGATGCAACTAATCATGCATATATATTAAACACATCTTATATACAATCTGCCTCAAAGCTGGGAAGTTACATAATCATTTTCATGAAAGTATGTCTTCCCAGGAATTATCATGTGTAGATTTTGTATCTTGAATAATAATGTTTTAACTTGATATATTACCTCCAAATTACATAGGAATTATCTCAGAATAGGTATAGATAGATGTGCTTATCATTTTCCTGACTCCACTTTCCAAAAAAACATAAATTACCTGTATTTAGAGTAGTATGTACTTTTATTGACTCGTAATTAAGTCTCTGAACATTAGATATTATATGTGAACTACAATATGTTGCACATATGGTATATGAAATATCATTTCATCTTAATAAAAAATGAATTATTTACCTCTAAATGTCAGATTGCCGTGATAGTATCTAAAACTGTTATTACATCTAAACAAAAAATATAGTATTCCCAGGAGAGGAATAATTTATAAGGACTATATTAACCAACCTCATTGTACCCTTTGCATTCCTTCGACCTTATTTCTCAAAACAGAGCTTCGTCTTCACTCTTTCAGTTTACAATAAATCTTTGATCTCACCGAGCCTATTAGAGTTCATTGTCAAAATGTGGACGACTTTCTATATGGTCATTTCTTCTGACATCACCACATAGTTAAAGAGCACGTATTTAGCACGTGTTCCTTCCACTTGCTGACTGGTTGAGAAAGGGCCATTTGAAATCAGATAATCAGATAATCATGAAAAATAGAATTTGGTTTTTTATGACTTTATTATGTCACCACCAAAAGTGGTGACATATTGTTATGGTCTCCGTTTTTTTGCGACGGCGGTTGGTGGTTGGAGGTTGGCGTCCGGCGTCCGGCGTCTGTAACAATTTCTTACAACTTCCTATAACTTAACAAATACTGTTTAGACTGACTTCAATTTTTTTCTAAATCATCTACATGTTCTCAGAAGTTCAAATCTGACTTTACATTAGACATTTGACCTTCAATGACCTTCTCAAGGTCAAAAAGGTCTTTTTTCAATCAACTTGCTTCACATTGACTAAATTTTTTTTCAAAATCATCTACATGTTCTCAGAAATTCAAATCTGACTTTAGATTTGACATTTGACCTTCAATGACCTTCTCAATGTCAAAAAAGGTCAAAAAGGTATTTTTTCATCTTGCTTCAAATTGACTAAATTTTTTTTTCAAAACCATCTACATGTTCTCAGAAATTCAAATATGACTTTAGATTTGACATTTGACCTTCAATGACCTTCTCAAGGTCCAAAAAGGTCTTTTTTCAACTTGCTTCAAATTGACTAATTTTTTTTTTCAAAATCATCTACATGTTCTCAGAAATTCAAATCTGACTTTAGATTTGACATTTGACCTTTAATGACCTTCTCAAGGTCAAAAAAGGTCAAAAAGGTCTGTTTTCAACTTGCTTCAAATTGACCAAATTTTTTTTTCAAAATCATCTACATCTTTTCAGAAGTTCAAATTTGACTTTACAAGTTCTCAGAAGTTCAAATCTGACTTTAGATTTGACATTTGACCTTCAATGACCTTTTCAAGGTCAAAAAGGTCTTTTTTCAACTTGCTTCAAATTGACTAAAAAAAATTTTCAAAATCATCTACGTGTTCTCAGAAGTTCAAATCTGACTTTAGATTTGACTTAAGATTTGACATTTGACCTTCAATGACCTAACTAGGTGGTGACATTTTGTCATGTTAATGCCTTGTTTTAATTTAGGAAGAACATGCAGCATACCAACAGCATAGAAATCCTGTAGAAATGATGAGAGCTCAACAAAGGATTTCAGTGTCATCAGTGAAAAAATTTTATCACCCTGAGGTATACACTAATTAAGAAAATATTCTGACTAGCCTGTTGGACCGTTCAATAATTAAGTGTCATGTATTATTTCATCGCTTAATTGATTCTTTTTATTTGTTTTATTTTGATTTGTATGAAGTTGTTTTGCACTAACAGAATTCATGTTAACATTTTTCTTGCGAAGGATCATTTGAGTCATAATTTGTATTCAGGCTCTCATAGAAAAAAGATAAAGATATAAAAACCTAATTGATGATACCTAAAAATAGAATTTCATGTTATAAATTCAAATGGGGTGTGGGAGAGTAGAATAAGTAAGTATCGAGAGAAAAAAGTGTGTAATAATTTGCCTTATTAACCAAATCATTGAATGAGAATATAACTTTTTCTCAATTTAAAGAGAAATCCTGTGGAATTACATGACCAAGATTGTCAGTTAGTATTCTGGAATCGCTAAATCCAGAAGACTGTAAAAACAGGAATGTAAGAGAGATAATGTTTTATGATCATGGTTGACATTTTATTGAAGGATTATTTCTCTGGATGAGGAGAATCTTAGAGCTGATTGTGAGTTACTATTCTCAGGGGTTTTCAATCAAATTATACTTCTCATTAAATATTCGAATAGAATGTAAAGTAACATCTTGGTATTTATCATATTTCATAAATCTTGTTAGCTTTTTCTTACATAGTTTCTTGGGATTGAAATTGTATTGGAGTAGAATTCATTTAAGTGCTAATTACTGTGCCCACCCATAGATGGCCCCACAGATTACCAGGGAGATACTGGTTTAAGTAAACAAGAAATAAATATTATGAGACCTTGATATTTCCTAATAAATCAGCATTTTATAGCATTTTTTCTCTCATTGATAAAACTATAAATATGTAACAGTCACATTACTGGAATAAATTGCCATCAGAAGGAGCAATTTCCATTTCAAGCCAAATATCATAATTTGTACTTCTCGTTTTATATTTTATTCCCTCTAGGACCTAGGATATAGAGTGAAGAGGTGTTTAAACTGATAAGGTGGCCCATGGAAATGTACTCAATCATTTAGAATTCTCAAGAAGAGATAAACCTTATTTATTTAAATAATTGTAATTTGTCATTTTCAGAATTCCCTGAAGCAATTTCAAAACAGCAATGAACTTACAGTGACTTCACCTCTGAGGAGGTTTTCTGTTGACCAGAGAAGATTTTCTGCAGAAGGGGCTTTTATATATGACCCCCCCTTGTCCCCTAAGGTATATGATGCAGTCTAAATTATCAGCATGTTTCCTCTAGGTTCCTTTCTGCTAGATCCCCTGACTCTAATGTACAATGAAAGCAGGTGATAGACTTAACGGGCTAGGCATATAGCCAGAATCAGAAAAAAGCAAAATTTCATATTTGGAATGTTTATAGATGCGTTTGCATTGTTTGTCTCATTTTGTTCTTCAAATGTTGCCCCTTGTGCTTTATGATCAACCAGGAAGTAGCATTTCCTGAGACTAAGTCTTAGATTTTGCTGAGATTAAGAATGCACAGATGGCTATATTTGATAAACAAAAGAACAAACAAATAACACTTAATTCATAATAATTATATTAAACCAGAAATCAAGAACATTTTTATGGATTCAGGTCTTGATTTAGAATCTTATTTCTAATCTGAAAGTCCCCTGGTCTATCAACTCTGCTTTCTAAATAGGAATTAGATACTTTCAGTTAAGCTACATAATCTTGCAATAGACTTTCACTATTAAAGGCAAACTAATTGTGTATTATGGTTCAGCTTTGTCTCCTGTTAGTTACAGTTTATGATGCTGTTGCTTGTGGTTTGAAACATCCCTTATTTTAATGTAGAACTTATGGTGCTTGCTGATTAATATTACTGCCCCAGCTAATTCCATATCCATTCATGCCTGTTCTACATGCATCTCAATAATGTCTAAAAAATAATTTCATGCTTTTCGACTTTATTACTCATTAATTCTTACTTGGCTGGTCTGCTTGAATTATTGTGTGAAAATGTGGCAATTGTGATAAAATTTCATTTAATGGTAAGTTCTCTCTTGAGATTTGGGATTCAAAAACAATGATTGATTATGAGAGTTGCTAGTATCATTAAACTTAATTGGTTATGATACTCATTTGTTCATATGAATTGCAGATATTTCCATGCTTGTCTCCAGCTTTCATCAGGATATTTTACTTCATATGAATCTCAAGTTTCAATTTTTATCGCACCCTAAGGTGCTATATTGTAATCAGTTTGCCGGGCGGCGGGCGTCCCGAATAATCTTGTCTACAGGTTTCCATCCAAACCGTCTGAGGGATTCATTTGAAATTCTCAGGGATGTTTCTACCTATGAAAGTTTAGAAGTGATTAGTTTTTCGGCATTCTGGGTAAATGTTAAGGCGGCCATTTTGGATGTTCAGTCCTAAAATCTTGTCTGTCAAGGCTTGTCTACAGGTTTCCAGCCAAACCGTTTGAGGGATTCATTTGAAATTCTCACGGATGTTTCTATCTATGAAAGTTTAGAACTGATTAGTTTTTCGACATTCTGGATAAATGTTAAGACGGCCATTTTGGATTTCCCGTCCTAAAATCTTGTCTGTCAAGACTCAATTTGTCTACAGGTTTCCAGCCAAACCGTTTGAGGGATTCATTTGAAATTCTCAGGGATGTTTCTACCTATAAAAGTTTAGAACTGATTAGTTTTTCGGCATTTTTGGTAAATGTTAAGGCGGCCATTTTGGATTTTTCGTCCTAAAATCATGTCTGTGAAGGCTTGTTTTAAAAAAGAATTTCCCATTGAGAGCAATGTTAAATTAAAACATTTTTTTTTAGAAATAACTAAACGGTCAATCTTTCCTATTTTCACATATTTTGTAATACATCAGCAGTGTTCTCCCTAATTTTTCAAAAGTGAGCGGTAAAAATTTTAAATGAAAATTAATGGGTGGTGACATTATTATTACAGTGGTGCAAAATTAAATAAAAAAGTGCCTTAAAAAAATCGGCGATACCATTCCTGAAACAACTTATATATATTAACATAAAATCACATCCATGTACACTAAACTTGCTTTATGGTTTTATTTTCACATGTACAATAGTATAAACAGAACAAGTGTTGTAAACATCTGCTAAACATAGGACATTTCAAACAGTAACAGAGTAAAGTTGCACCATTACAGTTTCAAGCTCTCAGTAGTCAGATAAGCAGTCAGATAATCTCAAAGACTATAAAGCCTCCTGTCATGTATTCCATGACCAACAATTACAAAAATAATCATAAACATGTTTTAACACCTGTATTTAAAATAAGACAGGATAATGAGATTAAGTAACTACATGTAACTTAGCTGAAAAGGGTGGTTTAAGTGAAAATAACACGCCTCTCTTGTTTGTTTGCAAAAATGTCTATGGCCCGTTTAAAATTGAACACCTTGATATCTGGACCTTCTATTACAATTGTCATCAGTGCATTTAAAACTTTTTGATTGAGCCTATTTCTTTGTTTTGACTTGATAAGTTTCATCTGACTGAATGACCTCTCACATTCAGCAGTGGTCATTGATGATTTGACGAAAAATTGCCGTCTAAAAATTGGCAAGGAGTTTCCTAGGATTTTTACACTTATTTCTGTGAGAAACATAGTTGAAATCGTAATCAAAATATGTATCATACTTACACTCATCGTTTTCAAACAAAAAACAGCGTGGATCAGCTTGGTTGCCCATCAAATCATTGATAGTACACGACCTCGTAAATTGAAAATTTTTCCCTGGAAAACCACCTGAGCATAAACAGCGAGAAATGACAGCTTTTGCGCAAAATAATATTCTACTTAGTCAGTTTCCTACTCGGCACAAGGGCTTGGATTTGTATTCAGATATCATTAATCCATGCCAATCTTATATTCTCTGGGAATATTGTTAAATGTTAGTGTTGATAACCGCGATATAAAAGCATCCAAGTCCGTCTCTCAGATTTCCTCCCGGGAATTATTCATGGACTTGGAAGAGTACGATCGCACTAAACGAACTGTTGAAAAAGATTCATTTCCGGTCAAAATTAAGAATCAAAACAAAGATCGTTTCTAGTGTTTTTTGCTTATATTTATTGATTGAAAGTAGATTAGAATCGAAAGAATAAACAAGGTAAGTATTCGGCATGAAAGTGGAATCGTGAATACTAATTTGACTATACAGCCTAAAAGAAGAAAATATTTTTCGCTATAGTATCTTGATGTCAGGCTAGACTCTAGTCTAAGTCTAATGCGTGGCGCTGTTAATTTATGAGTGGTGCGAGATAATTCAGGGTGGCGCAGCCAAAATTCGCGTGGCGCAAGCGCCACACATTTTCCAGTAAGGGAGAACACAGATCAGTATATCTTTTACCAGGATTTTTTACAGGAAAATCTGAATTGTAGAAAAAAGCTGATATACTGTGAAGTAATACCTTAAACGTGTCTCTTGAGGGTTGTTTACAGGTTTCATGGATTCATCCTAAAATTTTAGAGATGTTTCTATGGAAAGTTTAGAACTGATTAGTTTTTAGGCAGTCTGGGCAAATGTTAAGGTGGCCATTTTGAATTTTCCATCCTGAAAAGTGTATTCTGTTCAAGGGTGCGATTCTGTTCACCCTGTGGCTTGTTTACATTGAAATCAACATTGGACAATTTTAGCCTTGCTAATAATGAAAGTTTTGTCAGATCTTAAGAATTTTCTTGAAAATTAGGAATTTTGTCATTTGCAAGTTTTCATGAAAAATAAGAAATGTTCAAAATTGCCAATTTTCCTTCAACATTACTAATTTTGATGCCAAATATGTATTTTGACAAGAATTTTTAAGAAACTTACAAAGTAACATAAAAATGTGAATCAAATCACTGAAATATTACAAAATGATGAAACCTGGATTGAATCTAGTGCCTTAAACAATATTTTTAGTGTTATAAAAGTGACGTGCATCTCATCCTAGGTGGCACAAAGCTCTACATATACACGAGGTACCTGAGCTA